CATTTTATTAAAGACATTTTTATGTTTAACATTCTTTTTTATAGATACAAGTATTTAAGCAAATGCTCTGTTTATAATAAACAGTATTAAATAACATTTACCGAGCTGAATGTCCGAGAAATTTTCATAGAAAATATTCGTCCTTTGACAGGATTCGATATAGGGAACCGTCATTTAGCTTGACGTGCCTAACCTCTCGGCCACAAAGGATCGTTCGGTTGGCAAGGTCGAATTTACTGCTTATAAACTTCAATCTTCCATGAATCTCGTACATTCATAACTGCTCATGGCGTATCAAATGTAAACAAATGACGTCATACATTAAGAAATGGACAAAGTCCGACAATTTATTAAAGGCGTTTTTATAAGCAGTAAATATTATAATTAATACTGTTTATTATAAACAGAGCATTTACTTAAATACTTGTATCTATAAAAAAGAATTATATATATATATATATATATATATATATATATATATATATATATATATATATATAACCATTCTAGCAAAGATACAACTTAGGTGGGCTGATCATGTTGTGAGAATGGATGAGCATAGGCTTCCAAAAGGTGCTGTATGGACAACTGCCAAACATAAAACGTTCAGTTGGACGTCCACTCTTGCGCTAGAAAGGTAAATTGAAAGACAACTTGAATCGTCTCAACCTCGAACTGAAAACCTGGGGAGCCGAAGCATCAAACCAAAAGGACTAGCATAAGACATGTTTCATTAAGTTAAAGGATTTTGAAGACAGTAGACTGAAGCGCCGTGACCAGCTTCATAAGCTCTGAAGCAGAGACGCCATCAAAATCCACCTTTAAGAAATTTCATTGTCAGTGAGGCTTTGTCGCCCGTGGCAAGGCTTGGCCAGTATCATATTTAAGAAAGCACAAATGAAATATGTCTTTCCCTTACCGGATTTTCTCTATAATAGCCCCTACTAGCACGCATAAATGTAAAAAAAAAAAACAATGCTGACCCTCATTTATCGTTCACGATAGGAGAGTATATTTAGAGTATATATATATATATATATATATATATATATATATATATATATATATATATATATATATATATAAAATAGTGATTCAAAAGTATAACATGAGTATGTTATAACATCACTACAAAAATAACCATTTTGTTTCAACACTTCTGGTGTCTTGTCAAGTGACGCTGTGAATTTATTTCTACGGTCAAGACTAGAACATTTCAGCACTCCTCGGTACACACACACACACACACACACACACACACACACACACACATATATATATATATATATATATATAGGGTGATTGAAAAGTAACTCCATATTTTATGTATGATGGACTCTCTTGTTAACTATAATTACAAGATGGGACATATAATAATGAGTTACTTTTCAATCACTAAAATATATATATATATATATATATATATATATATATATATATATATATATATATATATATATATTGTGTGTGTGTCTGTGTATTTGTGCGTGTTTGTATCTGTGTCTACTGATGTTGCGGACAATTCCTTGAGGAATTAAACTGTAAAATGAGAAGAATTGTTGAGTGGAACTTTTGCAAAACCTGCCAACGTGAGAGGCGACTGTTTTTACCTTCATCAAATTAGCGACATGTTCAAAAACACATCAGAGCCTTTTGTTTTGTCAATTAGGTTGTGTTATCCATGCGAAGCACACGCATTGCTGATTAGCCTCTCCAATCCTTGGATTGGTAATTGTCTCCCCTGAGACCTCAGTCAGCTGTGCGAAATTGAAAAGACAGTTATGTTTGGTCGTGTTACATATATTATTGCAAGATGCCTTCGAAAAATACAAGGCACTCTGCCCAAAATTTAACGAAAAGAAGGAAAGAAAACGCACCATTATACGGAACAATGTTGTTTTGATAATCATAGATTTATTTAAGAAGTTTCTTCTCTCGCTCTTCTCTCGTGTCCTACTCTCTTCCGGCTTCTTGCTTTCTAGTCAAGTTTGATCTTCAAGCAATTAAATACTGTGTCATTCGTTATCTTGTCTTCTTTAGAACCACCCCTTAATTGCTGTTATTCCCAGCCCACACTGAACAGGGGTGGTAGCACCTGTTAGGGCCCAAACTACAGTCAAATAGTGAAATCCAGAACAAAAGGAAAACACAATGAAACTATAAAATACATTTTTATAGTAAAAATACCAGCAATAGATTTATATATATATATATATATATATATATATATATATACAGTAAAATAACCAGCAATACATTTTTAAAGGAAAATGACGAGCAATACATTTTATAGTAGAACTATCAACATTATATTTTATTTCAAAATGATCAATAATACATTTTATTTCAAAATGACCAACAATACATTTCGTTTCAAAATGACCAACAATATATTTTCTCTAGTTGAAGGTATACATTTGCGTTCAAAATATATTTAGTTGAAGCCATAAAATTGTGTTTAAAATGTTTAGATTTGGGCATTTCATAACCCATAGAGGTGTTGATGTGCTGCTAAACAAATTCAACCAACCAACTTATCTTTTTAATTTTTATTCTTTTATTGTTCCCTTTCCTTAATAGATTTTTTTCTTATTTTCTTCCAGACTCAATAAACCCTGTATCTTAGGGACTTTGTTGCCTTGCTTGGCGGTGAAATTATAAAAATTATCAATCTAATTGCAGCTATTCTAGATTATTAGCGTATCCAGCAATCTATTGCTCGTGTGTTCTTTCTGTCTTGAGGGTCTCAGATTAATCCAAAAGTAGTAAATATCACAAATATTTATTGCCATATTGTCCGCTTCATGGCGTGGGCGATCATGGCTCTCCACAACATCCTATGCTTTGTAGCTCTATGAAATATGTGTCCCTATATTATACCTCCTGATTAATGTTCAGTCATCCATTTATACCAACTAGGTAGGTTATTTGATATTTCTCTGTTACTTTTGCTTTCAATGTGCCATGGGAGAGACAAATTCTCCAAGCCTTCTTTTGTAATTACGTTTTCGATAAATTTCAACCATTCTCTTTTTATTTCCCTAATACAGGTGTTCGTTTCATTCATGCTGTACTCAAAAGTTCCTCGTTGATCACATGTTCGATTCAGGCTTCTGGGTAACCAGTTCTCAGATGCCTCAAGTCTTGATCGGTTCAGACATCACTCCCATGCAGGAGGATTGATGCCATATAATCGCTTATCACTTTGCTTTTAAAACAAAATGTGCCTCTTTCTTAATAATTTGTTTAGCTTTTAGAAGTTACCTTTCGCTCTTTCAAAGCGCCTGCAAATTTCGGTGTCACATTTTCATTGTCTGTTATAAATTGCACAGTTAAATTTCTAAACCCTTTTAATCAATTCACCATAATTAAGGCGATATAGCCACTAAGGCGCAATATGCTACTGGGATCAGAAAAGAATGAAAAGCCTTTAGAAGGAACCAGAAACTCGGTCCTAAGCAGGTAACAAGAATCTATCTATATTTTTGAGATGAGGTATTGTAACTATTTACACTAATTACAGTGTTCGGACTGTTGTCTTCATTTTTATTGCCATATTCACGACATTTCGGTCGTTGGATGCTCCGGTCTTCTTCAGTTGATCCAAAAAATTGACTTGATCCAAAGACTTGCGCGTTCAGCCCCTGGTCAAAAGGGAGAACAAAAACTTGTAGAGTTTAGTTATTTAGTTAAATTAAGTAAAACTGAGATATCCAAAGGCACGGAACGTGGAATTAGAACAATCTAACTCCGTGGACTGAATAAGTGGTTCGGTTTAAAGTTGCAACAAATATTACCTGAAGATGGCTGGAGCGTACAACGACCGAAACTTAGTAAATATTACAATAAAAATGAGGACAGCTGTCTGTACAATGTAAATATTGTAAACAGGAAACAAGAGATAAACCATTACTCTTGTTCAAAAGAATGGGGAGGAGTGTGATCCGGACGATACACAAACCATGGAGGAGAAAAAATAATGAGTAAATTCGATTGTATCTTGGGTTGTGAATCTTATTTCACTTTATGTTTAGGATTCTACATTTTATACTTGATGAGCTCAAACATTTCCCAAAAGTTTTATAACTTTTACACACACACGTACGCACGCGCGCACGCACACACGCACACACGTACACACGCACGCGCGCGCGCACACACACACGCACACACACACGCACACACACATATATATAACTACTAAATAAGTGATCAGAACCATCTCAAAATGCAGTCATGAAAACAAATTTTCACCACGTTACTTAAAAATCTAAAACTGAAAACGAACAAGAACAAATGAAAATAAATAAATACAATGAAATAAAAAAAACGAAAGAGAAATTAATCCAAATAAATAAGTAAATAAACTATGTAAATAATAAACATATTAACAAACCACTGCTACCAAAATAAACGTTAGAATAATACAATAGACAACCCACAATGAAATAGACTACCCATAATGCATCAGTGACCTGTATATATGAAAGGTCGAGCACAAACACAAAGCACATGGACAGACAATTGCGTTTAGCATTAATCAAAGTCTTGCCTCTCGGTGTGGAATGTTCACTTTTATATTTACATACGCTCTATCCCTGACATTGTACACTTTAACCAGAAATATATATATATATATCTATATCTATATATATATATATATATATATATATATATATATATATATATATATATATATATGGTGTTTCAAACATACTCTTACTCTTACAAACTTTGGGGCCAGTTCCTCACACCAAATCAAGGAAAAAAAAGTACATATAAACATATATCCGCAAATTCTTCGTTTTTGAGTGATTAGGTTTAAAGTAAGTTTACGGTAGATGGCGCTGTGTTACCGTGGCGATTGGCTTACATTTGTGGCTAGACTCTTCGGCGGATTATACAGCCACAGTTTTACCATGTCCGGTGTTGCTGCTGAAATTGAGTGGAGTTTTAAAGTGTTTAAAATATGGATTCCAAATGTTAAATCAGTTATTAAGAAACAGGAAAATTTCGTTAGAAACAAAGAAATGAGTAGTGAACTATGTAATATCACTCCACCATATATGGCCGTATATGTTGGACAATCTCCTCACATATGAAGGACAGACTTAAGGCAAAAAAATGTTCTACAGAGGGATGCTGAGAATACCAGGGACCTAACATGTGAACATAGATGATGTTTTGGAGAAAATGGAAACAAAAGGGCCACCTGGATGCATAATGAGGACTAGTGTACCCGTGATATGAAAAGTAACGGTAATTATTACAGAGTTTAAATAGTGAGGTGCAATGAAACAAAAGTCTTGAAAGGCTGTACTAAGATTCAATAAAGCGGAGATAAAGAATTCACAATTACAATAGAAGCCGATTAACCGTTTAATCAATCCGTTCCATTTATACTTTTTAGCAGTTCAATCGTATGTGGGATGTATTAATTATTATTCCTGGTATTACATAAATTGGTTTTTGGTCAATATCGTTTCACGTTAAAAATTTTATGTGTTTAATATAACTGAAATGGAAATGTCTCTTGTAAGAAAAAATATTGGCAACAGAACGACAATAAAAGACCAAGCTGAGTCAAGACTCACACTTAATGGTACCTGAATGCCTCACATGAAAGTCTTGAACAAATAAGACTGCAATCAGAGAAACGTAAAACTAAAGGAACTTAATAAGAAAACGGTTCATTTTGCTCGGTTCATTTTGTCTGAATGCAAATAAATATTTTATTTGTATAAATCATTAAGACAACTAAGGTAAGTAATCACTGTTAGATGTACTAACTGAAGTTGATTTACCGCCCTTCCCACGACAGATGGGACAGGAAATATATAAACAGGCACTTATAATTATTATGTGGTTTGATTTCTCCTAACAGACGCGCCTGCACGCTATCATACGTACATATAAATTTATCTGTGTGTTGTGTATGCCTCTCTCTCTCTCTCTCTCTTTCTCTCTCTCTCTCTCTCTGTGGTCAAATGCAACGGGCACAGGAAGGAGAATGGAGCTTAAAAATGGTAGAAACATTGACACGATGAAAAGCAACATGAAGCCATCAACCCTACAAGGCATTTTTTGTAAATTATGTTTGTTTAAGAAAATTTATACACCTGGCAATGAAGACCACATTGAAAAATTAAAATGAAAAAAAAAATCAGTAAAATTAGAGTTAATTTTAGGTAATATTCCCAGAAAGTAAGAACAAGACCCCTCCCCCCCGCCCCCCAAAAAGAAGCTATTTCTTCCATTTACCTGCGAGGTGCACACCAAATTTCAAAGAGATAAATAGCAGCAACGTTCACGTTAGGTAAAGTTAAGTACAAAGTTTTTTTCAAGATCACATTTGAAAAAGAACTCTGTTTTTTAACATTACCTACGAATGTATCTGTCTATATTTCTGAGATGAGGTATTATGTACACTATTTACATTATTCGGACTATTGTCCTCATCTTTGTCGCCATATTTATTATAACGTTTCGGTCGTTGTACGCTCCGACCTTCTTCAGGTTGTTGGAATGTCGAACTGAACTGGCACAGTGGATAAAGGCGTTAGTTAGATCCAATGACAGGACCCAAAGAGTGTGATTTCAATACCCGGTTAAGGCAGAGGAGAACTTGGAGAGGTGAATTAACAGAAGATAACTGATAACTGACATCCATTATACATGGCACGTGGAACTAGAACAAGCTACCCAAGTAAGCGAAATAATGGGTTCAGTTCGACATTCCAACCACCTGAAGAAGGCCGGAGCGTACAACGGCCGAAACATTGTAATAAATATAGCGACAAAGATGAGGATAATAGTCCGAATAATATAAATAGATTACCTACGAACTTCGTAACAAAAAAATTAAATAAATAAAAACTAA